AGAAGGGGTAGAGCAGGTGCCTGTGTTTGCCACTTCACAGAAGCCTTTCACCTTTTTCCAGTGGCCAGAGGGCCAGGTGTGCAGCTCTGGCCTGGCTTCACTGAGTGATGAATCACACACAATTTCTACAGGATGACTCTACCCCTGGCCGAGCCTCATGCCATCGAGAACTGTGACAGAGAAGGAGGTCGTGTAGAGAGGGCCAGGTCAGACGCAGCCTCGAGGACCTCCCTGCCTTGGCTGAGATGAAGCCCCTGTCAGCAGGCAGAATGGCCGTTTAAATAAATATCAAGACCAGACATTGAAAAATAGGGAACATGGTAATTCTGACACCCTTGAATATTTTGTGAGGTAAATCCCACCAGATTTGGGAAGAGTCATCCCCTACCATCCCCTGAAGGGAAAATACAGTGTCGTTTTTCCAGGCCAAGAGCGGTCTCCTTCTCTGTTCCCTTCATTCATTCTCACTCAACACAAATGCACTGAGCACCTGTGGACATGGAAGGTGGGCCCCCAGCTCTCTTCGCCCCCACCAGTGGCGGAGGAGTGTGCTTGGCTGTGGCTGTGAGGGTGGGGAAGGTAGACTGTGAGGCTGGGATGAGCTTCGGGGGCAGCTGGCACTTGGGGTCCATGCTGCCAGGCTAAGCAGAGGAGAAGGGAAAGCAGAGAGCAGTTTGAAAAGGCAAACCCGGGCAGGATTTTGAAAGGGCTGGTAAGGGGGCGGGCTGGGTACCAGGTTGAGGTCGGTGACTCGGTCTGCAACCCCGTGGCCCAAGTAGCCAGCTGCTCCCCCCTCAGTAAGGACCTGGGTGCTGCTCTCTAGGTAGGGCACAGGGCCACTCTGCCCTGCACTGTGGGTCGTTGGCTAATTTGTCTGCCATCCCCCTTATGCCCTCAGTGTCCTTGAATGTCTACTGTGGTGTGTCCTGTACAGCACACGGAGTTGGCTTTGGTTGGTTGTTTACCTTTAAGATATTGTTTATTATGGTAAGATACATCTAACCCAAAATTTAGCATTTTAGCCATTTTTAAGTGTGCTGCTCAGTGGCACTAACCACATTCACACTGTTGGGCTACCATCACCGGCATCCATCTTGCAAAACTGAAACTGTATCATTAAATACTAACTCCCACTCTCCTCACCTAGCCCTGACCACTACTACCCTTCTGCCTTCTGTCTTCATGACTTGGACTCTTCCAGGAGTGGAATCATACAGGATGTGTCCTTTTGTGACTGTGTTATTTCCCTCAATATACTGTCTTAAGGTTCAACCACCTTATCAGAATTGTTGGAATCCCCTTCCTTTTCAGAGCTGAATAATATTCCACACGAAATACAGTTGTGTGTTGTTCTGTAATGTTTCAGTCAACCATAGACTGATGGATGGTGGTCTCAATCAGCTAAACCATGCAGCCCAGGTGTGTTGTAGGCCATACATAAGATTTGGGTTTGTGTAATTTTACTCTATGATGTTCACACAACAATAAACATCACCTAGTACCATATTTCTCAGAACACACCTCTACCTGTCACTCAGGGATGCAAGTCTGTATGCCACGTTTTTGGCTACCCACTCATCTGCTGACAGTGATGTCTTATGTTTGAATTTGTATAAATCATGTTGCACTCTTTGCCATGTTTGTTTCTTATTTTCATTCAACACCCATGCCCTTAAGGCTGATTCCTGTTTCTGTGCACATCTTGGCCTTTCCCTCTGACAGGGCCCTAGAATCCCACACAGCCCTCCACAGTTGGTCACCCCTGCCCCAGGACAGACGCCAGCACATGGCAGCCCCTCCCCACCCAGAACATCCTGCCAGAAACATCTGTGAACAGATGTATTTTCCACCCTTTGCTTCTTACTATGACTCCTTGTTTCTGCTTTATATGCACTACCCTCCCTTGGCTGAGAATACTTATAGCAGTGACTCTATTTTCTGGGTCCACCAGAAAGTTCTGTTCCCTGTGGGGTGACTGTGGTTTGGGCCACACTGAGAGATGCTGTGGACCCTGAACATGCATTTGCCTTTGATCTGGGCACCTGTTCTCCTGGAGGTGTTGCTACCCTGTTTGAGGACAGGTTCCAGGGCAGGAGCTGAGGCCTGGGTGCTCATGTGGGTGTCTGCATGTCTCCTGGAGGAAGGGGTTCATGAGAAGGAGGGCTGACCTGAAGGCCACAGAATTCCTCTGATCACCCTCATTTGCTGCTGCTCCACTAGAAGTTTCCTTAAACTCATAAATGTGGGTAGCCCCAATGAGAGGAGGTGATTTTTCCAGGTGGCATCCCTGGGGACTAGAGAGGGGAAGGGGTCCAATGTAGGCTGACCTGACGGTACCCAGCTCCCATCAGCTGCTCACTGACCCTCATTCTCCACTGACCCTCACTCTCCACTGACCCCTCCTCTCTGGGATTGAGCTCACCCTGATGGAGCCCTACCCAACTTAGGACTGCCGGGTTGGGCTACTGGAATCCATGTCAGAACAAAAGGGATCCCCCAAGGGGAAGTGGGGCAGAGACAGAACACAGCTCCTTTACTCTCCCAACCACCACCCCCTGCTGCCCTCTGCCCTTGGCCCTGGCAGCTGTACCCAGCTCTAGTTCTCCGTCACTACCTCCCACAGTGGGTCTCCCCAGGGCTTCCTAGTTTGTATTCCCTCCCTCTCCTTGTCCTAGGGGTCTCCAGAGTTGATGCTGGGGGTGTGGAGGGGGATGTTAACAGTAGCCCCTGCCTGGTCTCAATCTTTTCTCTCCCTGCCCCTCTCCAAGAGCAGCTGGATTCTAAGCGCAGGACAAACTCAATGAAGAGGTTGGATGAATAAGTGAACGAGGCAGCCATGGAAGCCACTGAGCCCACTTTCAGGCCCGTTTGAGGAACTCTGTAGACTGGGCCTCGCATCCCCCTTCCCTGGCCCTGCCCTTTTCCGAAAACACGCTTCCCGGCAGCCCTGACTCACCTGGCTGTCGCTGGGCCCGTGTAAAGTCACCGGCGTGAATCCACATAACAGCTGACCGCATGTCACAGGGGGTAGTGGGGAAAAAAGACTCGACTGGAACTTTCTTTTAAAAATGAAACAAAATATATAAAGATTCATTAAAGTTCATCTTGTCCTATATTAAAAAATATCCCTGATAGGCAACTATGAAGCTACTTTTTACAATGAAAGATGAAGGAATCCATTGTTAATTAGTTTTTTGGCATCATCTTATATATGCTTGTACAATATTAATAGCAAATACTTGGATGACATTTACTTCATGCCAGACTCTGTTCAAAACTACAGGGTGTGTGTGTGTGTGTGTGTGTGTGTGTGTGTGTGATTTAATGTTCACCACAATCCTATGAGACAAGTAGCATTACTACCCCATTTTGCAGGTGAAGTGAGCAAGGCGCAGAGAGGTTAAGGGACTTGCTAGCCAGTGCGAGGGGCCTGGCTGCCAGTTCTCTGGCCCTGACCCCGAGGCACCCTTCCCTCCCTGTCTGATGTCTTCATCCCGAGGACCAGCCTTGCAAAATCCTGAAGACCTCACAGTTTCCCAAGACCAGCTTTTTTTTTTTTTTTTTTTTTTAAGATTTATTTATTTATTTATACAAGCACTGGGTACAGTCAGAAGCACGGGAGGGTGAGAGAATTCACCAGAGTCAGAGCAGGGAGCAGAGTAGACAGAAGGACCGAAGTACACTGCTGAGGGGAGCAGCGGGCGGCAGGAGAGGTCTGCGCGCCATGTGGGACCCTCCTCCGGTGGCCGGGGAGCAGCCGGGGATTGAACCGGCGCTGCCGAGGCTGCAGGCAGCTTTGCAACCCAGCGCTCAACCGCTGCGCCACCGGGGAGGCCCCCCAAGACCAGCTTTGAGGTCATGTCTCTGACACGGTCCTCCAAGGAATGGCTGTGGGGACCCCCGTCTTTTTTGTTGCTGCTCCTCAATACTAACCAGCCCCCCTCGTGGCCTCGTTTCATGTGTGACTCAAGAACGCTGAGCAGGACACTTTGGCTTGTTGATGGGTCCATCCTGCCTTGCACTGTGCTGGACCCAAATCTTCAAGAGACAGAGAGCCACTTCAGCTGGGCCCCCTGGGCTGGCGAGGGCGGGCGACACCAGAGCGGGACTGAGGCTTCCCTGAAGTTCACTGGCCCAGAGCCAGCTGTGTGTCTGGCTCCGGTCTGGGCCCTGAGACGATGGGTGGACAAAATAGACACGGCCCTGTCTTCTTGGAGTGGACACAGCTCCATCCCAACAGGAGAGGCAGACATAAACAGGGCACTTCAGTAAAATACACAGAGGCGCACACGTGATGATGAGGGAAAACAAAGCAGGAGAGTGAGCAGTCCCTTCCAACCCGCCAAAATGGCAGTTTAAATGTGGTGGTGGGGAGTCTCCAAGATGGAGAAATCTGAGTAAACACTGAAGGAAATGAGGTTGGGGTTGGGGGGAGCAGAGCAGGGTGGGGTCCCTCAGCCTCTCGGCATTGGAGGGGCTTAGCCTCTGACTGCAGGAGCCAGGGATCCCAGGGGGGCTTGGAATAGCAATGGCCTTTGTGACACAGTCCCCCTCTCTGAGTGTTGAGGCAGGAGTGCAGGGCATGAAGGGGTGCAAGGAGGCAAGGTCGAGGCTGTTTGCAATAATTCAGGAGCACAGCTGTGGTGACCATGGTGGGTTCAGTAGTTCCTGGTGGGTGACTTTAGAGTAATGGGGTGTGAAAGAAGGTGGGTAGAGAAGACCCGAGCATGTGGCCCGTGTGACAGACCTGCCATTCCCGTGATTCCCCGAGGAAGGACAGCAGCTCTCTGGACAGCCACTTGTGAACACACTGGGTCCAGGTTGCCTTTGGACTTGGTGCTGCAGTTTTGAGAAGCTGGTGCATGTCAGCCTTGGGGGGTGATACACTCTGGGGTCCTCAGGTTGCCAGTCAGAAAGGAAAGGGGCTGGGGTCCCTGGATCCTCTCTGGGAAGACAGGGAGGCCCAGCAATTGTGACAGAGGCATCTCCATAAATGGGGGAGGTACCATGCTCCCTGCCCCCACTTACATGCAGCCACCCTGACTAGCTCCTGGGAACTGGCTGGAGCTGAGTGACCAGGTAAAGCTATTGATATACAAAAGAAGGCAGAAGAAGGGCTTGCTTGCTTCTCAGCTTTGCACCAGGGACTTGGGGGGCTTGGAGGAGACACATGTAGAGACACTTGGGTGAGAGTCACATGGGGAGGTAACAATGCAGCCACTATCTTGACTTGCACTTTAACTTTGCTCCTTTCCCTCCAGACTTACCTGGCTCCTTCTGCCACTTTCCTACAGTTCCCCACCAGTAGGTGCCTTGGATTTGTGGCAAGCTTTTGGGTCTCAGCGGCCCCACTTCAGGCCAATCTTGTTTAGCTGGGTATTTACCCATGAAGGCATGGGTAACACTGGGTGTTTTATTGGGAAACTATTATCCTTTCTTCTCTATGCACACACACTGATTTCACTAAAGTTCTTTCACACTAAGTAAGCTTTGCTTTTGTGCCCACAGATGGCCAGACCCCTCTAGAGTGTGCAAGCTTGAGGGCCCAGGATACTCCCTCTGTCAGTGCCTAACCTGGGAGAGAAGAGGGTCGGGTGAGGTTCACCAAGGAAGAGACAGGATGAGAGCACCATCCATCCTCATCCAGTTCCACCCTTGAGGTAAGATGTAGGCCTGCTGGGGACCCTGCCCCCAAGCTGCCCTGAGCCCAGAGCGAGTTCAGGAGATCCATGGCTTCAGGGTCGCCCCGACAGCCCCTTGCCACTCTCCTGCCAAGGAGAGTTCCTTGTAGGGCAGCTGTGACTCTTGGCCCCTCTGCACCCTTCCCCTATCAGCCCCCTTGAAAATAGCACCCTTGGCAGCATCAGGACACAGGGGTGGGCGGAAGTGGACATGCTGACATGGCGACCCTGGCGCCCTGCCTGTGTGGCCTCGACTCCAGAATATTCCCTATAATCTACCGTTGGAGCCCCAAGCAGAGACCAGTGATATGACAATTGGGTTTCATGCCAGGTTATTTTAGATCAAAAACAAAACTCACCTGATGGGTTTGGGTTCTTTGGAGATTCCGCCATGGGAGATAAAGGAGGTGGGAGAGAAAAGAAAGGCTTAGCTCCCACTGCTTCTATTCAAGTGTGAATCCTAAACAAAGAATCCTCCTTAGTCAACAAACTTTGAATGAGCAGCTATTTTGCACTTTAAACTCTGAAGACAGAAGGGAGCTTTAGGGGGATTTAGGAAGGAAAGAAATGCAGCCACAATCCGACCTGCGCAGCCCCCTGGTCTTCCTCTGCCCGGAGGCCCATCACCACCGTGAACGCTTCAGCCTGCATCTTCCCAGAATGTCCTAGCGATGGTCTCCGGTGCCAGCCTTCTCTCTGGCAGCCTGCATGATTCACACATTTATGGAAATGTGATAGTTGAACAGTAACCTGTGGCTGTACTTTTAGGGGGTTGACAATATCCAGTAAGGAAAATGGAATGATCCAGGGTTGGGAGCCTGCTACGTGCATTCTGACCCTTGACACCCCCCCACCACCACCACACACCATGCCCCCGCCATGAAAACAACTGCTACTTTCACCCCAACTCCTGACATTATGGGGCACCTTTATTTATGGGGTAACCAGCCAGTGCTGGTTATGACCGGAGAGGGGTCTCTGGTCATGTGGCACCATCCTGGGGGTGGCCCAATGACTGGGAAAGGAAGATTTATCTCTGTCACCTTTTGAACATCTCCGAAGAGTGAACCATGCCAGGAGGCGGCACGTAACTATTCACATGACTGACGGCTGCTCCCGGTCGCAGGCGGCCCTGTGTTTCTCTGCTTTCTCGAAGCTGTAGCGTGTGCACCAGCACCTGCAGGAAGCTTAGGCTGAAATTGACTGGGGAATTAAGCAGCCGTCCCAGGCTCATGGGCGCTCACTGTCTCGAAGCTCTCAGTGTTTCCCCTAAGGTGTCATCTAATTTCCCCACAGTCACCCAAGAAGATGAAAGCAGGTGGAGAGCAGAAGGCGAGGGCATGAAGAAGAGGCTGGAAGGAGGAAGAGAGGGCCGTGGTTCTCATTTTCTAGGCGGGAAAAACACGTTTGTGGAGTCAGAGATCACCATGTTAGGTTTACAAATAAAGACACCAGAGGCCACGGGTGCTCAAACACAGGATGCAGACTCTCTGTCTGCAAGTCGTTTTTTCTAAGGAAAATTGAATTCCAAAAATATTTGCACTGACTTAGAAAAAAAAGTTTCTCTTCACGTCTCCCGTTTTTAGCTACATTCCTCATTTGTGTATTGGGTTTGAGTTGCTTTTTCAAAAGTTTAAATAGGGATGGAAGCTATGCACCAAAACCAAAGCCAAGATTAGAGAAAAAACATCGTGTAAATGGAAAGAACACAAGAGTGGGAGGACAGAGGAAAGGGAGACAAGAGCCCTTCCCCCATACCAGTGGCATGGAAGGGCAGCCCCTCAGAAGACCCCCTCCTGGTCCTCTGGCTCCCCTGGGGGTGGGAATGTGGGCACTGGCTAAGGGTTACTGATTTGGGGCACAGGTAGGACCAGATTGAAAGGAGGCCCAGATGATCATTCTAAAATGGGAGGAAAATGCCTCACCTTCTGGAATGTTCTAGGTGCAACAAGTGGCAGGCCAGGAAGCAAACCTGCAGATTTTCCTCCTGACCTTTGTTGATTTGCAAAAAGGGCACCAGCAGGCAGTGCCTTTTAGGGACACAGAGTGAAAGAATCAAATTACCTTTGGGAATTGGGAATCTGACCAGGAGAAAATGCCTTTAGGATCCAGGGACCAGAGCAACTGGCTGGCAAGGTGACCCTGGGAGCTAACCTGCCTTTGGCCATTGTCCTTTCAGGGGTGCGTGCTGTACACCCACAGGGCCACTGCGACAAGCTCCAGCACCCTTCCTGCCGCAAGAGGCGGAGGCTACATCCCTGCCCCCTGCCAGGGGCCACTCAGGGGTGGCTTCCCTGAAGGAGACACTGAAAGGGGGGGCCCACCGCTGCTACATCTTTGACTCTGCATAGACAGGGTTTGCAGGTCAGTCCCCAAAGCCCCCCTTTTTCCAGCTATAGGGTGGGTCTAGCAAGGGTCCATGGTGTCCAGGTGACATGGCAAAAAAGACAGGAACTGAGACAGCTGGGTGCTGGGCCTGGGCCCGGGCCCTCCACTCCCAAATCCAGACCACCAGGCTCCGCAATTCCTTCCTGTTTGGGGACACCCACCCTCCAGGCAGAGGCTGCCTCTTGGCCCTCGATCCCGCTTCTTGGCTGCTCCAGAACACCCCTCCAGCAGGCCTCCCTCTCCAGCCCAGTGATTTTTGACTCTCTCCTGGATCAAGTCCACTAGCTGCAAACACGTGGTTTTTTCTCTTTCTCATGACTCAAGACCAGAGCCAGCGTCCCAAATCCTCCCTGGCCTCGCTCCTTCCTTCCCTTCCTGCCCCATTTCTTTCCTTCTCCATAAAATTCCTTGACAAGATGTCTACATCCTCAGTCTCCTATTCCTCTTCTGTTCTCTATGAACAATGCGTTCATCTCCCGTGGCTTTAGGCAGGATGGACACTGTCCTCCCACAGGCCAGTCCCCTCACACTGGTCTGATGGAGTTTCCACACTTGAGGGCCAAGCTGGCCAGCCAGGATGCGGAGGGATGGCTTGAGGGCTCGCTGGCTGGGGGCAGCCCACCGTGGCTGCCTGCTCAGAATGGGCAGGCCAGGGTCTCTTCCCCACTCAGATTATGAACCCTGCACCACAAAAGTCTGTGATTATGAAGGAGCTCCCAGGGCATCCCCAAGTGGCCACCCCAGTTCTGAGAGAGCAGCCAGGGTCCCTGAGAACAGACTGGAGGACGCAAGGACTCGGGCTACTCCTGGGGATGAAGGGCCGATGGGGAGGGTCTCCCTAGGCACAGAAAGACCACTGGACCCTCAGGGAGCTGGAGGCTGAGGTGCGGGGAGCAGGGCAGAGAGAGACAGGCTTGCAGTGAGCTGAGGTCTAGACAAGACCATCTAGCTGGGCACCTCCCCGGGGGGAGGTGGGTTTGCCCTGCTAGTACAGGGACACCACCCCTGGCATTTGCTATCTCCCTCCTGAGGTGCTGGATCTCTCCCTGCTGTCAGGCACAGATCGGGAACTTGGGAGAGTCTGGGAGGCCTCATGCTCCTCGCCTGGAATCCATGAGGCCTGAAGCACTGACTGTCCACACGCTGCTCTGGGCCTCGTCGCAGGGACTCTGGGCTCCAGACAGCCTGAGAACAGCAGCTCTCCAGAAGGACTTCCTGTGCCCTGTCCTTCCTCCAGCCCTCGCCACTGGTAGAAAGCAGCCCCCAGCACACGGGCCAGGACTGAGTGAGTCCCTGTCCAGACCCCTGCTCAGATGGGCCTCCCCTGAGCCTGCAGTCAGGACAGAGAGGCATGAATCTGCCAGGCTAGTCCAGGTGGGCTTTGGAACAACTCTGCCCAGGAGAGCGAAGGGCCCTGGGGGTGGAGGACAGATTTGGAGACACAGGAGCCCCTGGCCCCGCCCTTGGAGGGACTGGAATGGCAGGTGTTAGTGGGGAGGGGTGCGAGGGATGGGCCTGGGGGGGACTCCTAGAACCGGCCTGGCAGGAAGGACTGGACCTTCTCACTCCTCCTCCTGGGGTGCAGCCTCTGGCTGACCTTCATCATGACCCCCTTCATCTTGGTGGTCCCACCTCCTGCCTTTCTCACATCCTGTCTGCCATCTCCCCTCCTTCTGCCTCTGATGCATTCATCAAATCAAATGTCATGGTCCTTATTCTTACCTAAGAAGTCAAATGCCAGCAACAGCTGACATCTATTGAATGCGCATGGCATGCTGGGCCCTTTAGCTAATGTTCACTTACTTCTCACAACAAGGTCAGGTAGGGAAACTGAGGCACCAGGCACAAGTAACCCAATAAGTAGAGGAACGGTGGGCCTTGAGCCCACCCACCAAACTAAGACCCCATACTCCCTAAAGCTGGTGCTTGATTAGATATCACAAAAGCAACCTCTTGTTTTGTATGCGCCTGAGGGAGGGGAGTGGGGGAGGGGTCGGGGGAACACCTCACCTGGAGCCCCCAGCAGCTGAGCCAGCCAGTTCAGTACTTGACAGGAATGAAGTGTGGTACCAACAAGCTGGAGCCCCAGAGTACTCAGCTCACCCCCAGGCTTACATCGGGGGAAGACTCACATTAAGAGTTTTCCACGGCAGTGCTTGGAGCCGGAAGGATCTCCTTGTGGTCACCAATTACATCCCAAGTCCAGGTGCCTCACTGTCCCTTCCCCAAGCACACAGTTTTTATGAAAAGTGTCCTCTCCAGGCCATGTGCCTGTGCACCCAAGTGGCCGTCATGCAGGGTAGAAATGGGTGACAGAACATTCTCTGCTTTCCAGCATGGCAAGAGGGGAAACTTATTTAATAACAAGGACTCCAAGGGGCTCCAGTTCCCACCCCTACTGGGCGACCATACACGGGGACACTGGCGGGGGTCCTGGGTTTATGCTGCTCTGCACACTTGGCCGCTGTGGCCAGGGGTCTGCCCCCACATATCACGGACCCCCATCCACAGAGACCTTCTGGGCAGCCGGTCTCAAACGACCATATGTGGGAGGGAAGGAGACGCAGGGAAAGCCAGTCTCCAAATAACAATATGGAAAAAATGTTAAAGAGAGGAGTGCTAACGTGGGATCGCTGCAAGCCTCATTCATTAAATTAAAGTAAGGAAAATTGGCATGGAAGTAAGGAAAATTACAGGGTATTTCCTGCAAGGAATATATGGGACATCCTTGGAAATTTCTTGAGGCATAATAAATTTACTATTCCTCTTCTTCAAAAAATATCTTGTTGTGGCTCACCTGTCCCCCCTCCTATTCCCCGCCCCCCAAGAAGTTATTTATGGGTGTGAAATATCCCCCATTTAGAGCAACTTAAGAGAACAAACACTGCTGTTGGAGTCTCCCCTAGCAATGAAGAACTTGGCACTGGGTCAGGATCTGAGGTTTGGGTATTTGCTTACAGCCGTTAATTGCTGTATAAAGTCTTTGAAAAAATGTCCTGTATCTGGGAGTCTCTGCTATAAAAGCCCATTTAGAACCAGTGGGAAGTTGGTCTTCAAGTTCTCATCGACAGAGACTCCAGTCCCCAAGCAGGAATCCCAATTACACATTTACTGGATAAACGTATGGGAGCCGCCTGGGGGGTCATGAACTGTGAAATCCCTTTTTGAAACCCCCCCCCTCCCCGTTGTGGGGCGCCCAAAGCTGGCCCCAGAACTGTCGTCTTGGTGACCACAAGGGAGAGTAACTGCGGGATTGGGGAGAACAGAAAGGTTTCTTTCTCCCTGCCTAAACTGAGATGGCTTTCACCCACTCCCTTATTTAAAAAATTACTAATTAAGTGCCCAAGTACAGCTGCTCTGGCACATGCCAAGGGAATTATTTAGACAGCAAACACCTAAAATAAGCTCCGACACAAACTTTCTGCCATAGGAGAGGCTGCCTACGCGCCCCATGCGTGAGAGGCCTTCCGAGCGCGAGTTTGGGAGACAATCCATCCCAGATGGGCTGCTTGGCACGGGACACAGCGGGGTTGAAATAATCTTGCAAAACCCACGCTCTCCTTTGCCTGTTTTGAGGATGGTCACTGAAATGAAGAGCAGAAACGGGAATGCCTGCCTACTCCCGGGGAGGCTGTTGGCTCGGCCTCTGGCTGTATCCCTGCATTTATTACAGAATCCTTGACGCTCAGGGTCTGCCACCCCTTGCATCAGCAGGAACCTTGGGCTCGTGACTCCATTGTCCCACAAAACTGAACATAAACAGGGAAATTCACCTTGGGATCCTTCCTAAGGAGTGGACACCGATGGCTTGGGGGTGTTTTATTTTTTTTTAATTAATTATTTTATTTATTTATTTTTAATAGAGGCATGTTTTATTTATTTATTTGTTTGTTTGTTTGTTTTGTTTATACAAGCACTGGGTACAGTCAGAAGCGCAGGAGGGTGAGAGAATTCACCAGAGCCAGAGTGGGGAGCAGAGCAGGCAGAAGGACTGAAGTACACTGCTGAGGGGAGCAGCAGGCGGTTGGAGGGGTCTGTGCGCCATGTGGGACCCTCCTCCAGTGGCCGG